TTTCAGTCCCACCCAACAGTATGCAAATATAGAATTACTGCCAGGAAGAAAACTGCAAATCACACTGAAATTACACCGTTTGCAAACAAATGCTACATATTTACTCATCTTTTTTAAAGGTTTATGGATGGCCCATGAGGTCTCCAACTCTATGATTCTATGATTTTATGGAGTCTTTTGTGGCTCATGAAGGCTGAACTGCGAGCAAAACATTTCCCACACTCCTGGCATTGGTTTGGCTTCTCTTCCGTGTGGAATCTTTTGTGGCTCACCAAGGCTGCACTGTCAGCAAAACATTTCCCACACTCCTGGCATTGGTATGGCTTCTCTCCTGTGTGGAGTCTTTTGTGCATCAGAGAACTGCGAGCAAAACATTTCCCACACTCCTGGCATTGTTATGGCTTCTTCCCTGTGTGGAGTCTTTTGTGGCCCAAAGGCTGAAATGTCAGCAAAACATTTCCCACACTCCTGGCATTGGTGTGGCTTCTCCTGTGTGGAGTCTTTTGTGGCTCACCAAGCCTGAACTTTGAGCAAAACATTTCCCACACTCCTGGCATTGGTATGGTTTCTCTCCTGTGTGGAGTCTATTGTGGCTCACCAAGCCTGAACTCTGAGCAAAACATTTCCCACACTCCTGGCATTGGTGTGGCTTCTCTCCTGTATGGATTCTTTTGTGGCTCATCAAGCCTGAACTCTGAGTAAAACATTTCCCACACTCCTGGCATTGGTATGGCTTCACTCCTTTGTGGAGTCTTTTATGCCTCACAAAGGCTGAACTGTCAGCAAAACATTTCCCACACTCTTGGCATTGGCTTCTCTGCTGTGTGGACTCTTTTGTGGATCACCAAGGCTGAACTGTCAGCAAAACATTTCCCACATACCTGGCATTGGTATGGCTTCTCTCCTGTGTGGAGTCTTTTGTGCATTACCAAGCTTGAACTCTGAGCAAAACCTTTCCCACACTCCTGGCATTGGTATGGCTTCTCTCCTGTGTGGAGTCTTTTGTGCTTCATTAAGTTTGAACTCTGAGCAAAACATTTCCCACACTCCTGGCATTGGTATGGCTTCTCTCCTGTGTGGAGTCTTTTGTGCTTCATCGAACACTGAGCAAAACATTTCCCACACTCCTGGCATTGGTATGGCTTCTCTCCTGTGTGGAGCCTTTTG